CAGTTCAAAAATCTTCCAAAAGCGGGAAACCGAGGGCGGTAGCGCGCGCCGCGAATCTAGCCCTTTACATTGCTGGTTCACGAGTAAAATATATGCCAATATGACGAGCATCAAACGGTGATTCCAAAGTTGTCCTTGTCGCCAAGCTCCTTTAGACGCTGAGTTATGAGTGTTTTTTGGCAGGAAAAATGATAGTAAAATGCAGGTAAAATCAATGATTATGGTCTTCCCAACTCTCAAATAACAAAGTCTTAAGTGGGAGTATGTTAGACAAAAGTTGTTTCATGCATAGACTGCTATGATTTCGAGCGCTAGGCCATTTGCGCAATCTTGGACATACTTGTTCCAGTTGCGAATTTGATTTTTTGAGCTAGAAAACGCTCATAACTCAGCGCCTAGAGGCGCTTGACAAAGAACAAAGGCAGTTTTGGAATCAGCGTTGATTGCCTTCGAATGGGTGTATAATTCAGTAAAGGCGATTTCGATTTTGGGTTCTCCCCTTGTGAGTAACTCTTACTTGTATAAGTTCTCCGGTAATTTTACGAATCAAAGCACACGAGCATTACAGCGGTAATTGGTGGATCTTTACTGTATTTAAAGTCTTGCTGATTTTTTTGCTTTTCTTTTCTCCCATGCTCAAATTGAATCGATCACTATATACTACAGCATTCTTCATGTTGGGTACAGGAATATGGTTAGTTAGTTGAATGCAGAAAAATGCTGGATCTTTTGCGAAAGCGGCATTCCGCGATTAGGGTCTTCAACACGAGTAAGCAACATGCATTTTTTAGACGAAACTGAACCGGTATGGTGGTCGTCACAATGTGACCGTACTCCCTGGTGATGGCATCGGACCTGAAATGATAGAACATGTTGAGAAAATCTTCAGATTCGGACAGGTACTTCAGGCATAGACCTTTGATTGCACTTGTCTTTATGTATATGCTGGCTTATCGTGGTATGTGTTTTTTCAGGTGCCCGTCGATTTTGAAACAGTGCAGCTGTCATCCAAGCCGGACTCCGAGGATGACCTTGAACAAGCTATCATCGCTATCAAACGTAATGGTGTTGCTCTCAAGGTAATCTCGTTTTTTT